TAGAGGGCAGTACTAGCTAACAAGGAAGGCGTTTTGCAGCACGTGCTAGGGTACGCAGCCACTGCTCCCGGTCAAGTGAAGCTCAAATAAAACGAGGGCCAATGTGCAGACGTGATACTCGGCAACAAAATGGTCAATGCCCCATTGACTGTGGAAACAATTGAAACCCGCACTTTTCAAAGGGATTGCTTACGCCATCTGGCTACGTTTGCAAAAGAGGTAATAGATGCTTTTGGAAGCAGGATAATATCGCTCTGCAGAGTGCACAAATACAAAGGCACGAGGGAATCCGTAGGAATCTCGATGCATGACCGTAATTTGCAGACAATAGCAGTCAGACGTGTTTCTGGCGCAGTCCTTCTTTATGTGGTTCCTAGGGCGCACGCTGGCCTGTCAGCACGTGTTGCCTCGAATAGGATGCAGACGTCCGGACTTGCCATCATGGGGATTTGCTGCAAACATCTTTAGTGCGAGCACTTGCGTGTGTATTATGTGCCTGAGACGCTCCATTTCGCGAGGCCTTGTGACTTTATCGGCTGAAAACGGTCCCCCTAAAAAAGCAAGAAGCAGTGTTTGAAATGTACTCTTCTGGCGACAATATTGAGGTGATGGCTTCAGCGTGCTAATTTCCGTTATTCCATTCGACAGTGAAAACAATTTCCTGAATGCCAATTTCTAGGTGACGTCAAGTTGCCTGGTGCTGAGCGCAGGAGTGATTACTACCGTCGTTACGGCAATCCCAACTACGGTGGCGCAGTTGGTCTGCTCTCCCGGTCGTACCGACGTCAAGCCAAAATGACAGCTCTTACTACGGACGTGCGTTGTGTGTATTCAAAGGATCCGCGAAAGTCAGTGGCTTGTGACGACCTACACAGTGTGGCTCTGGATTTCGCCCAGCGTGACATCATAGCCTCAGATGGAGAGGAGTCACATTCGCAGCAGCGACTTTTGCCTTCTGGTCGACGAAGAGAGGCCGCAGGTATGCTAATTTGATATGACGAAGAACAGCAAATTTAAACTAAAGCAGGTTATTTCTGCTTTCTCTGACAGTTACCAATTTCTGTGGCGTTCACTAAGTGGTCGTCTTCGCGAACTGTGTTGTTAATATGATAGCTAACAAATTGCCTTCCTATCCCCAAACAACTCACTTGTGATTATTTGTGTTATCCAGCTTTGTTAAAAGGCGCTTGAATGTTTCTCACATAAGGAGGACTAGATTTGTTTATTAAGCCAAGCGAAGATTTCCACCAGTGGAAGTGTTAGCATTGGAATTCTTGCCAAGGGTCACCAAGCTCGAAGGCGAAATCCCTCGTGACGTCTACGAATGCATGTTTTCCTATGTTGACTTTGCGGCTGTACGCACTTTGGCTGCGGTTATGTGTTTGACCTATTCTAGGTAACAGTAATGCCAGGCATTGTCTTTGATTATGCATATCATAGTCACTGAAAATGCTTATATATTTGTTTGCACCGGAAAGTGGTCATTAGTGAAAACGTCAACAATGGTCAGTCTCTTTGAATAATCCCAACCTTCAGCTTTGAAAGGACGCAATTGAGGTACGTGCATGATTTCACTGCCGAGTTCCATTGAGTTTGGTCCTGGTCACTTTGAAAGTCATTGCAATTCCGACGTCATCATTTCATTCTTTGTTTCTACGTAACCTGTTTGATGAATGAATCCGTTGAGAAACTCACCATGTTATGATAAAGTGCCAATTGTGGCCATGAGAATGGCACTGGTTGGTGCCACTAAGAACACTCTTTCCATCAGTATATTCTGTGCAAGCTGCGAGCACTCAGTGTGTTCGCCGTAGTCGTAATATGAGCAGCTATACTAATTCCAATAAAAAGCCATTACAGCGCTAATGGTTTAGGATCGTACCTAAAATTGGTTCTCGCGTGTTAAGCCATGGCGGCACAAAGTTGAACAATTCCGTTGTGAACGGACTACCCAAGGCCTTGTGCGTGTTCTTGCGCAAAATGTTGCATATGAAATGGGGAAAAACGTCACCAGCCAGCACAAAATTATGTGACAACACCAACAACGACAACCAGTCGTGCGACCTCGCATAGTGTCACGCGGACCCACGTCCATCTACTTTAAGCGAAGCAAATTCATTCAAGGAGGTTGAAGTAGTCGGCGCTCGTTAATGTTGCCTTCAGATATATATGTAAGGCACAGTGACCATATCTCTTCTATTATATGATAAAAATCACAGTCATTTTAATTTCGACTGCGTTAATTATGTTACCGCTCGCTTAATCCGCGCACTACTCCGTGATGCACCAACGTGTTTGGGGTAGGCGTGCATGGTGGAATCGATCGGTTAAACTGAATCCCACATTGTATTAGGATGCAGAACCGCTTTAACTCTGATATTATCGCAATTTGCAAATATTTTCACGCTTGTTCTGTGGCGTCAGGCAGTAGACGTTAAGTTAGCCTTAATAGGTGAAGTGCGTTTTAACCACCACGTTAATTTACACGTTTGAAAAGCCTGCACGATTTGCTTGGACTACCACTTGTTAATCGAAATGCCGTCGGTAGCCTTAAAAATGCCTCTGAATATCACACTCGCCACTACAAATCACATAGCATACTATTACTGGTGAACTATGTTACAGTGTTTGTAGGAATGCAGAAATTTCATTCTTGGTCTTTCAAAAAGCACCCGATTGCATTTTGTCTGGTCAAAATGGTTTAATCCTACTAGTCTCTGGTTTAATCCTACTAGTGACCTCTGAGATTAATGTAAAAATCCTTAAATTGTGACTACAGAGTGCAGCGTGCGTTTAATAGCTGCACGTATGAATGGACCTCCACATGGGTTCCTTTATGTGAATACCACCAATACTGCAATGGAGCACTCGCGAAATGTAATTTAAGCTCTACGCATACTTGTCAAAGGAGATGTGGTGATGATTTCGTTTTGAATCAATCATTAAAATCGAGGTTAGTGAAGTAAGTAGCGATGCTTCTACCAGGGCAGTTTCGTTATTGCCCTAATGGTGCTCAAGTCAAATAAGTTATTTTGCTGGTCGGATAAATTAATTGACTGCATCAAGAGCAAGATTTTCCCTATTCGCCTACAGTTTGCCGTCCAATGCCTGCTACAATGTTAAGAGTAAATGGAAACCATTTATAAATCTCACTCGAAGCCGCCTCGCTGATAATACGGCGAATTCGACCACAACGTTCCAGTACTTGAATGATAATATCTGAAATCAGAGTAAGTGTGTCCAAATACCCATGCTAGTGAAAGTGTCTTTCTGTGCCCCTTCGATACCATCATCGAATCTTATCGTCAAACGTGCACTGACAACAGCCAAATATTTGGCATTCACTTAGCCATCGACCAACGCTATCCATCTATCTAACACGTGCACGCGTCAGCAACCTTGAACGTGCACACACATGTCACACGAGCTGGATGGTAGGTGCGCGCGAGTTGCTCGAACAATGTAAGTAGCCAATTAGATCGCAGTATTAGCACATCTAATGGGGCGCTTCTTTTGAGACGAATGCTACCAGCTCCGGTGTGGGTGATTTTCAGGTGCATGCGTGCGTGCGTGCGTGCGGTCGTGATATTGGCCGACTTTTGATTGTTGAGAGTTTGAGTGACTTGCTTTATTGCCCTTTTTTTCAAGGTTTTTTCTTAACCATTATCAGACAATTTGGATTTACGTTCTAATTCCACGAATATATTTGGCCGTTTTTTGTTTTATTTTCCTCTTATATTTTTTATTTGTTGTGTATAAAGTGTGATCTTAAATACCTTCTTTCTAGTCCTTCCCACCACTTGTATCTTTTTCTTTACTTTTCATATTATTGTAGCATTACGCATCGTTTTTTATCCTCGACACTGATTTACGACGCGAAATATTAA